ATACGTTTCATTAGTCAATATAAATATTATTAAAATTATAGAGACAGTAACAATTGTGAGCACCTATTTCAAAGTTATAGGCAGGCAGGGTCTCAAAGCGTCCTTAGGCCATTTTTTTCACATTACTGCTTGGTGGTAGAAATAGGTAAGGTGGCAGTACTTCCCTGGTGGAACTCTTAAACATATTCTTATATCGTTTTTGTTTGGTACCTGTAACTGCCGGCCACATCGTACACAACTACCCAACCACTTTCCCAACTATTGTAGATAAATTAATCTCAAGTTGTGCGATTTTTATTTTTGTATATTAACATTATTTTTGTTAACATACAGGGACAATTGGCAAATAACTCTCCAACCGGGCTATCACTGTCTTATTTCAAAATATAAAAAAGTAAATGCATTAAAGAAAGATATAAGTTAATGTTCAGATCTAAAACCAGAATTAAAATTCGATTAAAAATCAAATAGCTACAAGCGTCCAGAAATTAGGACAAACGGCAATTGCTTGTGACGTCACAATATTACTGACGTCATACAAGCTCCGTACTACATGACGGTACGTGACCGGTTTGCTAAAAAGTGACGGCACCTCCTGGGGTTATGCAAGACTTTAATTAACTATATTATCTCTGGTGTTAGGATATGCAGAAAGAAATTTCAACTTCGACCAATATACTTTCTAACATGTGTGTTATGACTTGATTGCAACAATTGATAGCACAGGAATTTAGTGTTTGAAATCTTTTGCCGTTCATTTTTGATTACTTTTAGGTTATTTGTAAATAATTTACTGACACCAAATCTCCAAATGGTTTTACTACTTGTGTAAATAACATTTTTTCTAAGCCTCCGCTTTTCTTGTTATAAAATAGTTCTAACGTTTTCGACTGAAGGACTTTGTATCGAGGTCATGCAATAAAATAAAAAATATATAGGAAATGAAACTATTTGTCCGGATTTAAATCGCGTATATTTGTGTTTTCTAATAAACCAACGTTTCGGGCCCTTTACAGGTCCCAGGGTTACGGCTGATTGAAATAAATATACCTACTTACGCGATTCAGATCCGGAAAAGTAGTTTCATTTTCAATGTTAGCTGAAATGTAGCAGTAGAGCTCCTTGTGAAAGATAAGTACAGTAAGACAAGTAAGTAACATTATACATAACGGGTATATAGAGTCATCAGCTCACCAAAGGCGGTGATTTACGCGAGACTTTTTTCCCTGTACTTACACATCTGTAAGTTCATTCTTTTTACTGGGTTAATTACTTTTGAAACATGTTTCAAAGTAATTATTAAAAAATTGTATGGCTAATAAAAAAGAGATGCCAGCGCCATATATTGATTAACGACGTCCGTCTTCGTGAATATGCAAAGCAAAAATGTTTAGTAATTAGACAAAGAGTTCGTCCCGGGAAGTACTGCCAGGCCGCCAAGTAGTAATATGCGCAGGACTGTTTTTCGGTTTTGATGGGTAAGGATTTTGGTGAAATGACAGGACACGTGACACGTGGGATTTTTCAACTTATGTCTCAGGATGACGGGTGCAGCGGCAGTGCCCCAGATCTTTCTTTCAGATCTTTGCGATTCAAAACTCTGACCATCAGGGGAACGACTTGATGGTTCCGTTACTTGGTATCGTAAAATAAAGAAAAATGTCATTATTTTTTTATTATTCCTTACTTGCATGTTTAGTAACCATTCACTTCTTAACCGACTTCAAAAAAAGGAGGAGGTTCTCAATTCGACTGTACATTTGTTTTTGTATGTATGTTACGCGATGACTCCGGTACTTGTTAACCTATTTTCATGATTCTTTTTTTGTTGGAAAGAGGGTACCGGATGAATCCGGGTTTACGCGCTTTCCGGTAACCGATTTCAATAAAACTGGGCAAATAGATGTCATTTCACGTAAAGCGTAAAGGGAAATTTGTTGATTTATTTTTTGTTCTATCCTATATCCTAATTTTATTTTAGTCTACATTAAGTTGTAACATGTTTACTATGACATGTATGAATATGTCTCACTTTCAAATATACAGCCTGTATATTAACGCACAAGTTTCGTAATGAAAAAAAATGAAAACTATATTCAAATATCAAAGCCGTCTTAGCGCGAATAGGCTCGCCGACAGCCTTGTTGTCGTTCAGTCAATGTGACCGTCAATGTGCGGGGCGTAGTGCGAAATTTAAAGCTAGGGAGGGGCGGAGAGTGTCCATTCTCGTTACTTTCTTGTTCTCTGATGGCTTCAATTTAGTTTGTTTTCTCATGTGGGGTAAAGCGGCAGATATTCAAACCATATTTGTATTGCAAAAACGAGCGATACGTTCTGTGTACCGTCTAGGCTCTCGGGTTTCTCTCAGAGAAAAGTTTAAGGAGACTGGTATCATGACTGTGGCATC